GCGATGATCCCAGCCAACGCCTCCGCCAGGAAGGGGCCCGAGGGCAAGTACCCGCTGCACTACCTCGTGTGGCACAACCGCCACCGGGAGCTGGAGAAAGAGGTCCGCGCCGGCCAGGTAAGGGCGCCGTCGGGGCGCAGCGGGGACCCCACGGTCGGGGACGCGCGCCCGGCTTGGGGAGGGGGCGCGGCGCGGCTGTCCCGCCTCCCTGGCGAGTTTGCAGCGCTTCTTTGTTCACCACCACGGCTTTTGTGCCTGTTGACCCCGAGAGGGTGATGGGAGCGGCCCCTGCCCGCCCCCCTCGGGCCCGAACCGGGGGCCCACATGTGTTTCTGACCCCCCAGATTGGGGCAGGGGACACTGTGTCCGCCCTCCGCCGGGACCCTGAGGGCTGCGGGGAGGGGCTGTCTGCGTTCCATGTGGTGGGAGGGTTCGCTCTGCTCAGCCGAGTAGCTACATCTCCCTCCCCAGCGTGGCCAGGCCTGGGGGTCTCAGGTCAGGGATCAGAGAATTGGCTGAGACACTCCCAGACATCCCAGCCCCACCCAGTATCCTCTGCCCTGGTGGTGAGCGCTAAATTTGTTTACTCGGGCTGGTCAGAGTTCCAGGATCCCCCAGACCCTACCACCCACTTGGGAATGGAGAATGAATACCGAGAATCACCCCTTCCCCTAGGGGCAGCCCCGAAGGGCCTTGTCCAGGTGCTGAAAGGCGCTCTCCTGCCCTCTGGTGCTGGGGTCTGGCTTCTGGGAACTGAGAGACCTAGGGGTCACTGGCGTAGGAAGGATTTGAGGTTCTGCTAGTTAGTGAGAACGGGTGGGGCAGCCAACTTTGGGTGGGTGGCGGCCTCCAAGAAGACAGGGTAAAGGGGGAGGATATCCTGGCCATTCCTCACGAGGAAGCAGGTACAGGTCACAGATGGTTTCCAGCTCTGCCCTTGGCTCCCAGACCATAGGTAGGCACACCTGGTGTGGACCACTCTGCCTCCAGCAAAAAAGCAGGAGTCAGAACCTGTCCCAGTCAGCCCTGCGTTGCCCGAGCCTCCAGACCCTGTCCAGGATTTTTCCCCTTTGGGGATATGTCTTTTGAGGCCCACTTCCTGAGTCACAGGAAGTTCAGTGGAGGAGAGTTCTGCTTCCCAAGGGATGAGTGAGGTAGAGAGCAGGACTTCAAGCTCCGAGTCTCTGAAGACCACCACTGTGCCCTCAGGCCAGCATAGCAGGCAGCTCTGCTTAGCAATACCTGGAAGTGTTGGGGTGTCCTGAACTTCTAAGGCTCCAGGCTGGTGCTTACTTCCTTTCTGCCTCTGCCAAGTTGCCTCTTAGACCATGTCTCTGTTTATCCATCCTGAGGTGGTGTGCATCCTTCATGCCCTGCAGAGGAAGCCAGGTCAGAGTGCTTGGCCCCAGGGAACTAAGAAGACCCCATTTTGGTGGTTGTGACTTGCTAGGGTGCCAGTCTCTTCTGGCTTTTCTCTGCTTTCTTCTCCTGAGGACAAAAAACAAGCATCTGACAGAGGATACAGCCAGAGTGATTTAAACCTGATCTGAAAGGAACTTCCTGATGGGATGATGGGCGGATTGTTAGGCAGAAAGTAATGACTGAATTTCCAGAATGCCTCAAGGCCCACTCCCTTGTCCAAGGTGGGATGGATGGTCCTTTTCCTGCAGAGACTGGAGAGAGGCAAATGCCCTAGAGGAAAAGGCCTTTTTACCCTGGCTTCAGTGATTGATAGTCCTCAGGTCAGCAGCCATCTTTGCTGGAGGAGTGTGAGGCACCAGAATTTGCTGGAGGTAGAGGTGGTTTGGGGCTGCTGAATGTGCCCCTCTACCTCTCCTCTTAGGCCTCCTTAGAAACCAGGCCCCAGGTTAACCCCTTTGCCCACTCATCCTCCCTCTCACCTAGTGAGTTAGTGCCTCCTTGAAATGGACACCCTCTTGCCTTGAGCCAGACCAGAGAGGATATAGAGCCCGGACTGAGGTTAACTTGTGTTCAACCACCAAGGAGCAGAGGCAGTTCACTTCACTCCAGAGATTCCAAAAAGGGAAAGACCAATGAGTCTGCGTGGAAAAGACCCTTATCTGTATGTACCCCAGCTCCAGGGCTGACCCAGAGTGATGATTGCATCCCAAAGTGCATTCTCAGCCCTCAGTGTCATGCTTCCTGCAGGGAATGGGACTCGCCTATGCACAGTGAAACCCTTGTGGACCCAAGACCTCACAGCGGGAGGCCCCTGACCTCTGATCTTCCTGGCACCGACTGTCACAGAAAACAGCCAGGCTTTCCCCAAATTCACAGCAGCTGGGTTTCCCTGGGCCTCACTTGGCAAAGCTGCCTCTTCTTCACTCCAAGCAGCCCTACAGAGGCCCTCCCACAGGCAGGCTTGGCAATGCCAGCCGACTGAATGAGGGGATGGCATGGCAGGCCTCAGAGCAAGCTCATGGGCTCTGCTTAGCCTTAGGTAGTTTTGGGGACAAGAAGCAGAGTGGTCGAGAGATGGAAGGTACTCGTGAGTGTTTTTTGGTGAAGAAAAGGGTCCTTGACCGCCCCAGATGATGCCTTACTTCCTGCCACGCACATGCCTTGCTAAGTTTGAAGGGAGCAAGGGTGTTTAGGCCAGTGGATATGCTAGTTCCCCCTTCACCGGCACAGCCCTGAGGTTGGCACAGCCAGCTGGGCTTGCCCCTGGAGCTGAAATCATGCTCCTAGTGTTCCCTGGGGACTTCAGGGGGGGCTTAGACTGGAGCTCCCTGTGGGAGTGCTGAGAGGGGTTGGCTCATACTCTGGCAGTGGGAAATCTGGAGGGGCCAGACAGTGGGCCCAGGGAGGAACTCTGGAGGGCCCAGCCCTTCCTTCTGGGACTGTCTCCACCATAGTCCTCCATCCTGCTTTCCTCGGTTCATCCTTTAACCTCGAGGCAGGCAGGATGGGATTGTGAGGTCTGAGGCACTCAGGCTGTTCCACCCAAGGTCCCAGTGGTGTCCAGGGCCTTGAGGGGGGACCTGTGACCCCCACAGTCTCTAAAGAGGGCAGCCCTGGGTATGAGCCATCACCATAGCTGCTGATTTGGGAAGTTCAGGAGTGGGAGCCATGGAGTCCAGAAACCAAAAATCAATGTGGGGGAAGGGGGAGAAGCTGCATGGATGAGGTGGCACCCCCACCTGCCCAGCTCGGCCTGAGAAAGTGTCCCACCCATGCCTCCAAACCCCCCTCCCAGACATAACTGCTCCTAGAGCCCACTTCAGAAGTGACCCCGTCAGACTCCAGCTGTTCTCTGAGGGGCTGGGGGAGGAAGAGGCAGCAGAAGGAGCGGGAGGCTGAGCAGACCAGGTCCCAGGGTCTGGCCCCCTGACCCTTCTCCAGCACCCATGTTTAGTCTATACGTTTGGTGTGTTCTTGTAAGATTTCACAGGACAAAGGATTCTGCTAATGCTAAACAAGTTTAAAAATATCCTGCTGGTGCATGTGGGTGCAAGGGGTGTGCCTATGCATATATGCTGGCAGTGACCGTGCATTACTGGCCCTGCAGAGCCAGGGCACAGCTGGGCACACGTGTGCTTGCACACTCTGGTGCACCTGCACTGTGAGCGAGTGGAAACAGCACGCGTGCTGATTGGCACTATGCACAAGTGTGCGTGTGCGTCCAGCAGGTGTGTGCCTGAATGGAAGCAAGGAGGCGCGCTGCCCAGGGAACTCCCGCTTCTAGGCTGGAAAGACCCCTATTTTTGACTGCAGCTGAGGCCTACTGGTGTGAGAGTTTCTATTCTCTTGGTGGAGAGGCCTGGGTGTTGGGTTTCATGGGAAACCTTTCATTCCAGCAATTAAATAGCTACAGGCCTTTGCTGAGGAAATTAATGAATTCTTCCACCTGGGCTCAGGGCAAGGCGCCATTTCTCAGGGTGGGAGCTGGTGGGAACTTCTTTGGGGTTTGGCTGGGTAGATGCAGGGTTCACATTGGCCCTAGAAAACAGTAGTGCTCTGGGTGGGGGGCTGTCGGGAGAGCTCCTAAGTAGTGTGGGGAGGAAAGGCATCCCTGCTGGGAGGGTGGCAGCAGCATCTGAGGCCCTGGGGGCCAGCTCCCTGGGGCCTTGTTAGCAGCATCAGCTGCAGGGGCAGGGATGATGGACGCAGGAGACTCAGCTGAAGCCCCTTGGGAAGGCCTCCTCCTGACTTCATCCAGCCCAGGGTGCTCTACCACGCCTGCCCAGGGTGCTCTACCACGCCTACCCAGGGCTTAGGACCCCACTCAGATCAGGACCCCTTTGGGTCAGTCCAACCCACAATAGGCAAAAAGTAAATAGTGTTGCTCCTCTTCTATGGGGAGCCATGTGGAGGAGCAGCAGGGGGCTACCTCGATCTCAGAGCCACAGCTCAGAGGGCCACAGGGAGCCAGGAATTTTTTTTTTTAAGGTTTTATTTATTTATACTTACAGAGCTGGGGTACAGGCCAGAAGTGCAGGAGCAGTGAGCGGACTCTCCAGAGGCAGAGTGGGGAGCAGAACAGGCCAACTGTCGAAGTGTACTGCTGAGAGGGGCAGTGGGCGGGTCAGGAGAGGTCTGCCTGCCATGTGGACTCCTCTGGGGAGGGCGGGGTTCAAACTCATTCTGAAGTGGCTTTAGCTTCTTAGCGCTGTGCTTTAACCTGCTGCGCTAAGGTGGGGAGGGGGGCCCTCCTAGTATATTTTAAAATGAAGAAATGGGGCCCTCCCTGGTGCTGCAACGGGTTAAAGCACTGCACTGTGAAGCTATCGCAGCCACGCAGCATGAGTTCCGTCTCTGGCCAGGGAGCTGACCTGCAGGGCACAGCAGACCTCTCCTATCTCACCCACTGCTTCCCTCAGCAGTGTGTTTCAATTAACCTGCCTGTTCTGCTCCCCACTCTGTCTGTGGTGAATCCTCTCAACCCCCTCCCCCCCATCTCTGGGCTGTACCTCAGTTCTTGTATGCATAAGTGAATCTTTTAAAATAAATACATAAAAAGGAAGAAATGCCAATTCAAGGTTATGAAAGTCTTGTAAATAAATAAATAAAAATTTTCTGCAAAGGAATTTATATTCATGTTTTAAAAATATGTAACTGCTGCTAGAAGATTTATAATGAAAAGCAGCAGTCCCCAC